CGCCAGCAAATCTAGGTGTCAGCAGTGTGTGTGTGTGTGTGTGTGTGTGTGTGTGTGTGTGTGTATGTGTGTGTGTGTGTGTGTCCACATACTCCCACACATGCTGTGAAATAGTGTTCAGGTTCCCAGGGCTGTATGATCTAGGACCTTTGGTTAACCCTAGTAGTGGTGAAGGCAGGACAGGACGTCTCCTGGAAGATCATTGTGTCTAAAAGCACACTCTGGGCTGGGTCTTGGTCCTTGGGACCTGGGAAGTAACTTTTCTAGGATTCTGGGAACCAGCTCAGTGAAACAATGGATTCCATGCCTCCAGCCCAGCTGTGGGAGGAGGGATTGGGAAGGGTGAGGCTAGTGACATGCCCAGCCTGCAGAATGGAACTAGGATGGGAGGTGCAGAGAAACAGATGCAGCACGTGACTTCTCTCTGCCTTCCCTTCAGCAGGATGGCTGAGTGGGAGCCTCCACCATCTTTGGGGATGGGTGGCAGTAGCTAAGGGACCAGTATAAGGGGAGTTGGTAAGAGGCTTCGGAGGTACATGGAATGAAGGTTGGGGAACCCCAGAGAGGGTCAGAAATATTCTTGGGGCCATTTGGGGCTGAGAGCTCCAGAGCAAGACTTAGTCATGTAAAAATTTCTCCTTGGGAGCACCATTTGCAAGATGATGCAATTCAGCCCTTTCCAAAAGCTCTTCCCCATGGGTTTGATGTTGCTTGTTGGTTGATGCAGTTGCCTTGGAGACCCTGTCTTCCCTCTGCTTCCCCTCCCTTGTCTGGAAGCTCTGGCGCTCTGCCTCCAGGGGCTGGAATGAGCTGACATCTGTTTCCTCTATCAATCCTTTGTGCTCTTGGTCCCAGTCCTGCAAGGAGTAGAGATTCTAGTATAGACTGAGCCCATTGCAAACAGGTTCCCCATCCTGCAGAGAAAACCTAGGGTACGAGCAGAGTTGGGCCCAGGAAGGCTGAGGGAGGTGCTGAGAGGAGGCAGCCCATTTTGGCTCTACTCTTGTGCTAAATGGAGCTGCCTTCTCTGGGGGGATGATGGGAATGATCGCTTCTCAAATAATATGTTCCTTGCCCTCCATGCCCGGCCATTCCTCCAGGGGTGCAGGCTCGGGAGAGGCAGCCTGCAGAACCCCCAGCCCCTCTCCGGAGGAGGGCAGCCAGCGATGGACAGTATGAGAACCAATCTCCTGAAGCCACATCCCCCTGTAGCCCTGGGGTTCGCTCCCCAGTCCAGTGTGTCTCCCCAGAGCTGGCTCTCACCATTGCTCTCAATCCTGGAGGGCGGCCTAAAGAGGTGAGTCCTTGACCTGTGTTCTGGGGTCACAGAAAGTAGTGGGGCCCACCTCGTGTCTCCATGAACCTGATGGTCAGCTTGACTCTGAGCTGTCATAAACGATATTTTTTTTCCTTCCCTGAAGTCCTCACCCCCAGACCTCTTCTCTAGTGTAGAATGGGCATGTAGAGCCCATTCCCTTCCTTCAGTAGCTTTTATGCACTCACTTCTTACGTTAGTGCTGTGGTAGAAGCTCCCTTCTCTATTTCTAGAATCTCTTAATTGCATGATAAGGATTCTGGGGATGGCATAGGTGACCTCAATCTCGAAAATACAAATCAGGTCAGATAGACTGATAAAAATGTTGTTTTGTTTGAAGATTTAATTTTCATGCCAAAATGTTTGCATTTCTGGATGTTTCAGTAGTTGGAAGCAATGAGTCTCAAACTTCAGTGGGCAGAGCCCTTGTGGAGAGTGTTAATATTGTGGATTCCCAAATCCACTTCCAAAGTTTTCAGCGTAGCAGATCTGGTAAGGGAACCAGGAGTCTGCATTTTAACTGTGTACCCTGGAAGATTCTGATGCAGATGGTCCATGGGTCACCCTGGGACATGTTGTGTTGTCCTGTGATACCCAGCTTGTAGAGTCATCCTGGATGTGAGAGGCCTTCACACACCTTTGTTACTTACCTTCTGGCAAGATCCAAGTCTACCACCTCCAACCCCTTCTCTATGGTCCTTTTCTGAATCATTTCCAAGTCAGGTGCTCCTGAATTCAGCCTGTGCTTGACCATGGCCTTGCAAACAGCCACTCCCCAACTCTGTCAACTACAAGAAGTTGGAGCCATGAGTGGTCAGGATCTCCCTTTGACTTTTGGGCTCCCCTGAGCAGTGGTGAAGATCAACCTGAGGAGGGAATTTGTCCCTGCTTAATTTGCTGTTTTCATGCCCAAGGTCATCTGAAGGGGATTGTTGCCTTCTCGGGACTCCTGCTTTTTCTCCCCTTTGTTCTCCTACAGCCTCATCTGCACAGCTACAAGGAGGCTTTCGAGGAGATGGAAGGAAGTTCCCCGACCAGCCCACCACCCACTGGGGGTAAGAACTTCCTGCTGAACCTGTCTTCTAACTGCGTTTCCTCCAGCCCCGCATCTCCACCTTGGCCAGTGTGGGGAAGGACGGGAGGAGTGTGCCAGCAGAGTTGGGCAGGGTTAGAGTTTGCCAGCCCCCCTTCAGCTTCTTTCTTTCCACTGTACCATCTTCTTCTTTATCCATTCTCACATCTAACATGAAGGCAGCCCCATCTTAGAATCCAGAGTGATTGACTGGAGCCCTGCACTCTCCTAAGCTTTTTATTAATTCTTTAAGTCTTTGTTATATGCTAGGCTCAAAAGATCCCCTATCCTAACCTGGACTCTCTGTAACTTCACCTCGATGTTGTTTCTGACCCCCATTTTGATTTGCATCGAGACACTTTTTCTGTTTTCAGGTGACCTGTATAGCTTTCTCCAGGGAAAGATAAGGGTCTCTTGGGTAGGGGCATTTACATGATCACCAAAGGGCAGCCAAAGAGAAGACTCGGATGAGCCCAAGAATTGTGCCCTGAAGAGGAAGTGCAGGAAGTGAATGTGGGGAGGGCTGCGATGGAGCCACACCAGGCTGTGAGATCTCGGGGTCCTGTGAGAGGCCCCGGGCAGTAAAGTGGGTGGAGACTAGTGTTGCTCAGAGGTCAGGGTGGCTGGGCTGGCCCCTCTGTGAGCTGCAGCTTGGGGGGGATTGTCTGTCCTGTGCACCAGGGGATGTAGCAATGGCTCACGACCCTTGTGCCAGTGGAACTTGTGCGGTTGCTGTCTCTGGCATGCAGGAGGCCAAGGTTCTGATGGATCAGTGGCTTCTGGAACCCGTGGCTCTGGCTGCCCAATGGAAACAGAATATGAGCACCTTGTAAATAAAATTCTCAGTCGCTCCCCTGAAAGACATGATAGGAAACTGGTGAAATTGATTTTAATAACATCTTTATTATATCCCAGATATTTTGTATCATTTCAGTAGGTGAACAATATAAAGATATGGAGGTATTTTACCATCTTTAGAAAAAAAGTCACTGGTCCAATGTAAAATATTGAGATATTAATATTTTATTAATACAAAACACAAGCTATTTGGCGTTCTTTTTGCATGCTCTTTGAATCCTGGCATGCATTTGGTAATCACAACACATTCTAGTTCTGATCAGCCAGTTGCAGATTCTCAGGAGCCACACAAGGCTCACGGCTGCCACCCTGGACCGAGAATGAGTGCAGGCTTAGAGCCATCGATTCCAGAGCCGCTCTGGGGCCTGTTGTGACTCGATGGCATTTGTCTCCTGGCTCTTGACCTTCCACCTTCACAACTGCTTCCAATTACTGTTGCATCCAACAGACAAGGGTGGGATGTCCCCCTGCTTGGGCTGGAAGCCATCGGGTTTGCTAGAATTGGGTTTTGCCTTTTACTCACCCTGCCCTGGGCCAGCCAGGGTGCCCTAGGGACAAGACTAAGTCAAAGGTTTCATAACTGCGCAGGGTTGGGGAGAGAGGATGGCAGGCGAGAAATGCCAGGAATTTTTCTCGCAGGAAGCAGAAGGCTGCTGGGCTCCAGCACCACCCACTCGTCTGTTTCCCCACGAGGGCCACTTTCCCGGGACTGAGTTGGGTGGGGTGCCAGTGGCAGATGGGGTGAAAACCCAGGGAAGCTTCTGACCGTCTCTGGTCCTCTCAGTCCTTTCACCTTCTCTCATGGGTTTCTCTACCCCTCTGCTGCACCTGCTGGGCAGGAGTATGGGGACTCAAGGCCTGGAGTTGTGGGCTGGGCCCGTTGCTTCATAATCACGCATTCAGCCAGGCATCCATCTGACAAACATTTACAAGCATAAGAGCATGAGAAGTGTCTGTAAGTAAGACACCATGTTAGGCAACGAGGGGTGTGGAAAGGCCTAGATTTCCCCGGTACCTGATGGTGTATGTTTGCACACATATTTCTCCTGTGCTGCATCTGTTCACTGGACATATAGGAACAGAGGGACAGTAGATGGAAGGGGTGGGCCACCCCTTGAGATCTCTGAGATGTCCCCTGCTCCCATGTGCATGGGCATACATTCCTGCATGTAAATAGTTTGTGTACATCTCTTGCTTTGAGATTGTACTTTTTTGTTACTCTTTCCTTTAAGTCTTTGCATCTTTTGGGGAAAGGGAAGGGTGCTGGACAGGGTGCATAGAGCTGTGTTTGGATCCTGGGCATCCAAGGGCCATAGCTGGTGTGTTGAGACCATCAGGCAGGCACAGAGAAACCTTAAGAGCTGTGGCTACTGCAGTTTCCTGATCTCCCTGATAGGAGAAAGAGCTCACTTCCTTAGTTCTCAGAAGTGAGACGTGTGACAGCTGTCACCAACATATCTCGTGACTGGGCATAATATCACCAGTAGCTCAGCCCAGATCTTTGGCTGATGGGAAAAAGCCTGGCAGCCCTTTCTGACCTTGTGTGTTATATGACACTTGTAACCCAGCTGGGTGGCTCAGGAGGAGCCTGGCTTTGCCTGGGAAGCTGGTGCTCTTGGCCGGAACTGGCTCCAGTTTCTTCTGGAGCACTAAGGTTCAGAGGTACAGAACCCCAAGTAGCGAAGGTTTTCCTTGCTAGGGTATGCAAGGGGCCCTGAGTCTTAGGGTTTCCACCTGTATTCCCCTTCTCCCCTGTCCTTTTCAGCATGTGTCACTGTGAGATTCCATATTAGTCTTCTCTGAAGCCATCCACATACATGGTTTAAAGTCTGTGTGTGTGTGGCGGGGGATGTTGGGGAAAGGAAAGGAGGAGAGAAAAGAGAGAACAGGATAAAGGTGCAGAAAGAAGACTGTGTGTATATTGTGAGCCACAGTACTGTAAGGAGACTCTAATAGAAGCCAAGGGCTCACGGGTAGAAATGACTTTCTCAAGGTTGGGGACAGGGCCAGGATAAGGGCGTCATTCCTAACTCTTTCCCTTTGTCCTTTAAACTGCTGAAGTGTGGAGAAACACAGAGCCAGGGAAGGGCAGTGGAGCCAGAGCAACTGGGTTTTGGGGCTGGTTCTGTGGCTGCCCAGCTCAGGCCAGGAGGCACCCCGACTGTGGCGTGTCTGGCCCTCCTGCCCCACCCCTCACTCCCTGCCTCTGTCTGTGCTCTTCTTCCTACGCAGTGCGCTCCCCTCCAGGGCTGGCCAAGACACCCCTGTCTGCTCTAGGCCTGAAACCACACAACCCAGCAGACATCCTGCTGCACCCCACGGGTGGTGAGTGACTGGCTGAAAGGGCGGTGGTGAGGGAGGCGGGGGCGGTGTGTGTGTGCCTGGGAGGGGATGCAATTGAGAGACCCCAGAGAGGACACTCATGGGACCCTCCTGGAGATGAGATGGCCAGGGGCCCTATTTCCTTGCTGAGGCCAGGCCCTGGGGCTCTCTCTGCAGGGCTTGGGGTGACATCCCCCTTTGCAGCCTTTCTACCTGTTTGTGATTCCTTGGACTTGGGGATTCGGAGACCTGGTCTGTTTCCTTGCAGTCACTCAGCATTCTGCTAGAAGCCTGGCTCCCCGAATCAGCCCCACTGGCCTCTGCTCTGAGTCTCCTCTCCTCAGAGGCCAGATCCCTGAATTTGGGGTGTTTTCCTGCTCTGCCTCATTGGGCTGCCAACACCCTCTGGAGAAATCCATGACTCAGTGGCAGCCACCACTGAATGCCAGGTTGCAGGTCTTTGCCCCTCAGCCTGGTCACCCCTGCCTTGCCACCCCCATACAGCCTTTAATCCTCCCCTTGTTCACATCCCTGATGCTGGCAGCATTTGGCCCTGCTGCAGAGGACAGAGCCAGATTCTGGGGCTACTGGGCTCCTCCCCAGCCTCCTTGGCACCTCACAGCTTGTCCTGGTTACAGAGAGGAGAACTGTGTCCTCCACAGCCGACAGCCACTTTGGCGCACACCTCCGACCTTCTCTTCCTACTTCTCAGTTCCTCTCCTTGTGGGAAGGCAACCATGGGAACCCTGGGCACTTAATGCTGGCTGGAGCTACCTAAGCCTAGAAAATTGCTTCTAGACTGGATTAGGGCTGAGCTAGGGCTTTTGAGGTCAACTGCACATTTTCTCCTTAGTAGCCAGAAGACTGATCCAGCCAGGTAGGTGGCAGCGGCATGCGTTTGTGACCTGCACAGACATTGGCTGGGGCACAGCCTGCCACCAAGGTGTCAGCATGGCCAGGGGTACTGAGCCGCAGGGGGAGGAAAGGGGCTGGGCTGCCTCTCACTGACCAGCACACTGCCGCTTGAGATTTGGCCATGCAAGCCTTGGCCTCAGGGGCTGTGACAGGGACAAGTTCCTGAAAGCCAAGGCTTCAGGTTGTGCCCTGTACTCCTGGGTTCTGGTGCAGAGTGGGCCTCAGCCTTCTCCTAGGGACTTTTCCCTAGCCTCACCTTCCTGCCTTTCTTTTCTGAGCAAATTCAATTCTTTCTCCAGAAATACTCCTTGGTAACCAATTCTCTTTCTCTTTTTCTCTTGCTGGCTCTTCCTCTCATCTTCGTCATCTGCCCCTTTTTCCTGCCTCTCCCCCTCCTGCCTCTCTTCTCCTCTTCCCTCAGAGGAACATGAGGGGAAGGAGGTGACTAAGCTTCCAGAAGGTAAGTGTGGGTTTATGTATGGCCACTCCTGCTCTCTCATGAATGGCTTTGCACACAGAGCTTGACACGGCTGGCTGGAGGATAGCCCTCTCTTCTTACCTGGTCTCAAGTGACCAGGCACATAGCCTTCCTGTCCCCACCCCCTGGCACTGCCTGAATGCTGCCCGAGGAGCTCGTAGCCACTGGGCACTAGTTCAGGGACAGCCGCTGTCCTGGCATAAATGTGTCACCTTGTTGACAAAAAGCACCCCTCCTGCTGCTTTCTCTCCAGGGGCATTTGCGTCTGCCTGCCTGGTGTGCAGCCACACACAGAGGTGACAGGCCAGGCTGTGAGAGCAGGCATTCTGTGGGCTGCACAGTCCCTTGCTGTGGGTGACCCTGTAGGATGCTGAGCAGTGTTTCTGGCTTCTACTTGCCACATACCAGTAGCACTCACCCCGTGGTGACGACCAAAAATGTCTCCAATGCGGCCAGTGTCCCCTAGCGAGATAATGGCCCTCGGTTCAGAGCCACTATCACAAAGCCATGCCTTGCCCTTCAGAAGCCTCTGCCTGGTTTCCTACCAGCACAGGAAATAGGAAGTCTGTGTCTCTGGGATCTCAGACACCTTGGGGGACTTCAGGAAAGCTGTGCACCTACCCTGGACAAACACATGTCAAGACACCTGTGCACATGATTCTGAGAAACAGTTTCAAAGAGTTAGGTGGTTATGGGTCCTGCCGTAAGTCCTGATTTGATGAAGCCCTGTATGGTGCACCTGGCAAGTGGAGAAGGCATCATCTGGTGGAAAAGCCTCTCAGTCAGTTCTGGAAGATTTCTGAGGCAGACTCAGGGCAGTGGGTGACTGGAAGGGGTTCTGGCCTGAGAGGCTCATGGCAGTGATGTGCAGAGGAGCTGGGAAGGGGTGGCCAGGATAATCAGGGTCCAAGCCATGATCCTGGGCTTCACATCCAAGGTACACAGGAGGCTCCCAGTCCCTGAGACAAGGTGGATTCTCAAATGTTCATATGAGAAGGTTGCAGGAGGATCTTGTCCCACAGGCTGACAGGTCCTAGTGGCTGTCTACCACTTTAGGGTGACTCTTCAGAGGAGCAAGTACAGTGGACTCACGAGTTATGAGCAGCCTGACATATGGACAGCTTGGGTTATGACTGGCATATTATTTTAACTTACAACCAAACTCTTGAGTTACAACCTGAATGTCGGCCTTGTGCTTCCAGGTGCTCTCAGAGGCAGATTTAACCCTTAAAGAGTTCTGGAGGAGCATCATAACATCCTTTCCTGTGTGGGGTTACTAGAGAAATCCTGGGCCAATGTCTCACTAAGGACACAGAGCTACCTGGAAGAAAGTGTAGCCTAAAATTACACAGGAGAGGGAATTTGAAGGCAACTGACCAACTTGAGTTACAATCAGGCCTTGGGTACGAAGCGAGCTCATAAATCAAGGGTCCACTGTAGTCGGTTGGGGGCATGACTCAGTGGTAGAGCACTTAACCTATACATAAGGACCTGGGTTCAATCCCGGTGCCACAGAGGAGCAACCTGCCAATTGTGTCTCAAGAATGACTGAACTTGTGAGACCCCTAGTCCCCCAACCTTCCACCTTTCACAGAGCCACTGAATTCAGAGGAGAAGATTCCTAGCCACACTGGTTTCATGGACCAGGAGCTGAGGCCTGTGTCAGGGGTGGGGTGAGGGAGGAGTGAGGGATCTCCTAGTTCTTCCTGAAGTGGCCCTTTCAGCTCCCTCCTCTGCCTCAGTGCTCTGTACCCTGGAATTCCAGTGTGGGAGTTGGAATTGCTGTCCCAGGAATGGGCGGGTGAGGGCAGGGAGCAAGGCCGGGCAGCTGGTTCTGTATTTCCTGACTCAGGCTCCATGGCCTGGCTCAGACCGCAGCACATTCCTTGCTGACCCTCGGAAGGTCTGTATGACTTCCCTCCTGGTACTTTTTAATGGGAAATTCAAAGAAAGAGGTCTGTGAGGAAAAATGACCAGTGGCCAAATCATTCAGCTGAGGAAAAAGAAGAATCTGGGGGCTGCTGCTCTGTTCAAGTCACTGTGCTAAATATATTCATGCATTCTTTTATTCGTTGATTCAATAAATATTTTGTTGGGCTGTTGTGTGCCAGGCATCATGCCAGGCTCAGGATGTAATGATAAGCAGTACAAGATATGGTTCCTAATTTCACAGAGTGCGTGCATGAACAGGAACCGGAAGTAAACGATCACTCAGAATTATGCTCTCAGTGCTTTGGAGGGAAGGGATACAGTTTTATGAGAACTCAAAAGAACACGCTCTAGGCTAACTTGGTGAAACTCAAATAGGAGAAGAGCAGAGAACAGCGTGGACAAAAGCCCCAGAGTAAGAAATGATGCTGAGCTTTTCCTAGCAACTGCAGAGTCAGTGAGGCTGGAGCACAGAATAAGGGGATATGTGGTATGTAGGGAAGGTAAACAGGAGCCAGGCCACAGGGGTCATTGTCACATCGTCTGGTTTAATAGGCTCAACAGTGCTGAGAAGAAAGTGGTAGGAACTGCATTTTACTGAGGAGGGGTTAGATTACTTGTCAGGCCCGCTGTTAGCCAGGGGCATGGCTGAGAGCCTGCCCCTGTCCATGTGACTGCACTGGGGACAAGGGGCACTTCAACATCTGAACAGTGACTTTACTGGGTGTGGGGACTCAGAGCTGGTCTCCCCAAGGGAAGGAGAGGACGAGAACTTGCCGCATCAAGATGCAAGGCTGCCATCCGGAGCGGCTTCCTGTGGCAGGGGACACTCGGGGTAGCTTCTATTCATCCGGGTGATTTGGGGTGAACAGATTGAGCAGAGAAAGACACTGCACTAGAGATGGCCTTTCTGGGGATTCTTCCTCCTCTTGGGGTCTGGGTGCCAGGTGTTGTGTGGCATCTGGGTGCTTGGCACCATGGGGATAAAGAAGGGTGAGCAGCCTGGGGAGGGGAGAGATGCCACAGACGTATCAAGACGAGACAGAAGGTCCAGGGAAGGGAGAGGTGTGCTGGGAGCGCAGAGGAGGGGAGTGTGGGCCCATCAGAATGGTCTGAAATTCTAACTTTTCAGCTCTTGGATCTGAGACTCAGCATTTACTTATTTCCTCCGCACACGTCTCCTCCTTCTCCGTAGTCACTGTCTCCGTCTTTGTCTTCTCATTTTCTCTCTCTCCTCTTCCTCTCACCCTCCCTTTCTTTCCTCCCTCCCCCTCTTCTCTGCAGTTTCTTCACAGTGCTGAGAGCGGGGTGTCAAACCCAGAGCCTCGTACACTCTATCAGGAATTAGGCATGCACTCTGCCACTGAGCTACCCCCCAGTCCCCACGTGGCTTCATTTTACTCAGGGTGGGCCTCTTCTCCTCAGTCAAAGTTCGTTCCAGGAGGCAGAAAATGCACTTGAGGGTGTGGAGGAAGAGCTGATGGTGTCCCCGGCTGGAGGAGCCAAGTCCCTCTTGTGTCTCCAGCTGCTTGCTCTGAGCCGCCACCAGCCACTTGGAATGGTTTGGGCTCCTGGAATGTTCTCCATGCGTCACCCTCCCTGACCCAGCCCTCCCAACCTTCCTGACTCCATTGCTTGGGTGCAGCTGCTCCAGGATTGGTGGAAAGCCACAGGGTGCCCAGGGTGGGGGAGGCTGCAGTAGCCCAGCCTGAGACTTAGGCAAGGGTGGGTGATTCTAACCATTGCGGCAGGCCACAATTAGCGAGAAAGAATCAGAATGAAGTCTCCATCTCATGATATTCCATTCACTCCAGGTGAGTGTTCCCATTCCCACTTTACAGAAGAAGAAACTGAGGCACAGAAAGCTGTAGTCAGGAAGGAGGGGAAGCCTGCAGTTGTCAGTATGCAGTCCTGAAGTGGAAAGAGGAGAGAAAGCTGAGGGATAGATAGTAAAAGGAAGCATTTTTATATGGAAATCTGCCTGGAAACTGGGGGAAACTGAAGTTGGGCCCTGGGCTTGGTTTTGCAGTCCTGGGAAGGCAGGTAATTTCCCAGAGGTCCCTTCTACGCTGGGGTCATGAGGAATGGAGCCAGCATCAAAAGACTGCCCTTCTTGACCCCCTGACTTGGAACTGAGGGACAGGTGGGAAGGGTAGGAACCGAGGAAGAGAATGGTGTGGGAGAGGACAGGCGGTGGACAGCACGGTGTGGATGCCAGGCTGGGGCTGGGGCTGGGCTCTGTGTGGCCACCCTGCGCACAGGGTGTCTCCTGACGTGGCAGACACACATGCTGCTCCTCCTACCCAGTGTGGTCCTGACCTCCGAGTTCAGGCTCCTGGTCCTTTGAGAGCTTCTTTGGCTTTCTGTAGTTCAGAAGCCAAGGAGCTGGGATAGTGGCCATGAGACGGGCCTTGACGATATGGCCAGCTTCGAATTTCTCATCTTTCGAGACTTAACAGTGTACCGTTCCACCAGCCCACTATGTAAACCTCTCCTCAGGCCCAAGGCTGCAGCTCCAGGGTAGGCAGGAAGCTAACTATGGGGCCTTCTCTCAGCTTCCTATTAAGTACAGGGGTGCATATATTTTTAAAGGGTACTGTGAGTTGTTTACCCTATGTGTGGATCAGGGTCCTGGCAGAAAGCCAATGGCTCATTCCAATGGCGCAACCAAAGGAGGGTTTAATGGACTGTTTAAAAGTCTGGACAAATCAGTGAAGAATGTCACATGCCTTGCGCTGTGTCTGGCAGGAGTACGGAGCCATTGCCACCCCAGGCCTGAGGAACCAGGATAGTCTGAAGGAGAGGGTGGTGACCAACCACGGTCTTGGATAGAGCATGCAGCCACTGACCCTTGACCTCTCTTTCCCTCCTGCTTGCCTCCTGCCAGTCCCTCATGTAGACGTAGGACTAGGGAGTGTGGATGACACAGCAGGTAAAAGCTAAGCTCCAGGGATGCAGATCAGGGCAGGGAGGATGAGGATGGACAAGTGGGCTAAGAAGAACATAAGACTCTCTGGGGATCATTGGTGCCATTTCCAGCGTGAGCACCAGGGACTGTGGTTCTCTTAGGTCTTCTTGGGGCTGGAGGGCAAGGGTTGCACATCTGTGGATTGGTGGGACACGCACACAATAAGGCCGCTATGGGCCAGGCCAGAGCTCCTCTGCCTTTCTGTGGCTCAGACATGGAAGGTTATCTGCTGTGTATGAGGCCCTGGGAAGAACTATCAGCCAGGCAGTCTCTAGGGGCTTAGGAGGGGCAGGTGGACCCCCATGCTGTCTCAAGGTGGAAGGAGAGGTGCTGTGCACTGTGGAAACTGGGTGAAGCTGCACCAAGCCTCTATTTGGAAGGGTCAGGAAGTGTTCAGAGGGAGGGAGGGATGGGACAGTGAGGAATGGAGAGGAGGGTGGGCCCTGGCCGAGTCACCTTAGCCTGTCTGTGGATGAAGTGCCCTCCGACGATCCCTCTGCCCAGCTGGGCTACCACCCCGGGTGAGGAACAGTTCCCCCAGACTAAAGCTACTGGTCCCTCAATTGCAGGTGGCCTGATTCATGGGAGAATCGGGCTCTTTGCCAGTTGGTTGGCTCCTGGGCCAGCTCTGCCATTTGCTAGCTGTGTGACCAGGGCAAGGTACTTACATTCTCCAAATCCTACTTCCCTCTCATGATCATTTGCTAATTTTATCCTGTGCATAGCCTTGTGGAGCTGGCACTCCTCTGGCTAATGGGCTGGTGTGTGGGTAGCAGTCAACTCTGGGTGCCCATGTAAGACTGTGAGCCTACTCTGGGCCACCCAGAACCTGCACTGGGAAAATGGTGTGCACGCCCACTGACTGCCTGTGTTTTATGGGCACCACCTTCCTGGGGTGAGAAGACAGTTTAGATCATGGGTCAGTAAACTCTGGCAGCTGATCAGATCCTGCCTGCCACCTATTTTTGTAAAGAAACTTATTACAACACAGCTGTGCCTGCTCAGTTAGCTGTTGTCTACAGATGCTTTTACACTACAACAGCAGGGCAGTGCAGTTGCAACAGAGACCGTCTGGCCCACCACACCTAAGACGTGAATCACTGGGTCCTTCACAAAAATGCTTTCTGGCTTTGGGTCAGAGGACCTCTACTTGGCTGGCATGGACCCCAAGCCTCCAGTGCCAAGTTGGCATGGGGCATCTTGAGGTGGGTGGTGGCCTGGACTGCTCAAAGGGGTGCTTTGAAGGGGGGTCTTGCTGGCTTATCTCACAAGCTGGACTCCAGGTCTAAGTACCCAGGTGGTGGCTGCACCTATGGTACCCTGCAGTAGACCTCCCTGCACCCACCCCTGGTCACATGATCTGTGAAGGGCCATGGCCAGAAGGACTGTCCTCTGCCTATTCTGGGGAGGCCTGTAGGTCTGGGAGAGGATTCTGGCCTGGGCCTTGAAAGGAGGCCTGGCTCTTAGAAAGGGATCTCGCCACCCCTCCTTCCTAAATGAGGTCTCCATGGAACTCAGGGGTGGGAGGTCCCATTTGGGTTGCCTCTCCCTGACTTGGTGACCATCACAGTCCTGACCAGCAAAAGGTACAGGGGCCCAAGCCATAGGGGTGCACAGGCTCCAGCTATTCAGGACCTAGGGCTGGTTTCAGCCAATGTTAAGTGTGGAAGAGCCAGGCTCTGTGCTCAGCCATGGTCCCTCCCGGGTTAGACAGGGACTGTGGTAGATTTGCAGGTGGGGGGCCTCAACCATCCCTGACCATATCACTGGAGCAACCAAGTGCCTGCTTGCTCTTACTTGTTAGCACTGAGCAAGTGCCAGGGCGGCCTCAGAGGCTGTGTGGGGTATTGGATAAGTGCTGGACCGGGAGCTGTGCCTCTTGCCATTTGACTTCCTGGCTTTAGATTCCTCCTCTGTTAAAATGGCCTTTTTGGCTCTTTCCCTCCCTCGCAGCCTCTGCTTGGTCTATTCTGGACACCAGCGGGGATAATGTATATAAATTGTCCCTGTAAGCTGCCCAGTGCTGCAGAAATGCCAGAGGTGGGCACAGAATGTCCAACTCTGCTTGGCACGGTTTCTCTGCGGGAATGCTAAGTGTGTCGGGCGGAGGTGGGTGGTGTCTTGACATGGAAGGGGTTACTGGGTGTGACTCACCGGCCCGGCACTGTTGCTAGGTGAGCAATCTTGTTTCTGGATTCTGTGTGTAGGGAGGAGCCCAGGACTGTTCTGAAGTCGGGCAGAGCTCTATGTCCACCTACAGCCCCGACTCCAGTGGGGCCTGGTGGCTGGGCATCAGCGTCATGGAAGGACAAGTGGCCATAAGGACACCAGCCATGGACAGGCGTCCTGGTGCTTGGGGGAAGACTCTCTGATGGCCATATGCAGAGGCACAGTCTGGGATCCATTTGGAGACGCTTCTCCATGCCAGGCCCAGGTTGAAGGCTGTCTTGGGTGCCCCCTGGGAAAGTGCTCTAGCATCACAGGGGTCCGGTTCTGTGCTGTCTTTCCTCCAGGCTGGACTCTGGGAGGCTGTGTTTCTTGGCAGGTTGGGTGGTGTCCACACTACACCCCGGGCATCCAGGCTCAGTCTGTGTTCCCTTGCCCCTTCCAGAGCCCCGGAGTTATGTGGAGTCTGTGGCACGGACAGCAGTGTCTGGGCCTCGAGCTCAGGACACTGAGCCCAAGAGCTTCAGCGCCCCGACTGCCCAGGCCTATGGCCAGGAGACACCGCTGAGGAACGGGACCCTGGGTGGCTCCTTTGTCTCCCCCAGCCCCCTCTCCACCAGCAGCCCCATTCTCAGCGCGGACAGGTAAGGCGGGAACGGGGCATGACCATGTGAGGGGTGAGAATCCAGGCCTGGGTTGGGAAGGTCCCAGGATCTGCCCAGGGTGTGGGCAGAAGTTGCATCTAGATTGCTGACCCTTGTGAACCACCTCATTGTGGTGCTTTGAGAGAGCGTGTCCTGACCCCTGAGTGTTAAGGGGAGTAGTGGGTGAGTGAGTTTTGTTTCCCAGGAGACTGCATCCAATCCCTCCCCCTCCACTGTGGTGTTGGAAAAAGTGAAATGGACTAAGGTTGAGGGATGCAAGGTCTTTCCTCCAAGTTTAAAACCTAAAGCTGGGTATGCTGGTGCACACCTGTAATCTTAGCATTCTGGGAGGCTGAGGCAAGAGGACTGAAAGTTTGAGCCTAGCCTGGGCATCTTAGCAACTTAGTAGGACCCTATCTTAAAATAAAATAGATAAAAGAGCTGGGGATATAGTGCAAAGGCCCTGGGTTCAATTTCTGGTACCGCAGAAATAAAGAAATACAAATTTAAAAAGAAATAAAACCTAGCAATGTATGTAGTAGGTGCTTCTTAGGTGCCCAGGCACTGCCCTGTGTGCTCTGTTCAGTTATCTTTGCGGCAGTCCCAGGAGATAAACAGTTATCCCTACTCTTCAGAAGAGGAAACTGAGGCACAAGGATGAAGTTACTTTCTTAAGGTCCTGCTGCTAAGCAGTCCCAGAAATAGGCTTCAGCCCAAAGGCCTGTGGTTCTGGAGCCCTTGTCCGTATCTTTTCCTCTTGTTCTGGTGCTGCCCTTCTTGGGATGAAAGCCGGATGTGCCCACAGCTGGCAGAGAAGGAAAGCGCTTGGAGCTCAGAGCAAGGGGACTTATTTCTGGCCAACGAAGCCCAGTGGATTTCTGAGGACTGAAACTCTTTGTGGAAAGCCCGGGAGGATGAGCAGGACATCAAGGGGTGAAGGAGAGAATGCACTTTGGAACAGCACCGAGGGACTGAGCCTGGCAGTGTGGTGGGTTGGGTATGGGCAGCTGAGGTCCTGCAGCCTGCGAGTGCGGTGACTGGGGACAAGTGTCAGCATCCATCTGAGTGCATCAGAGAGGGAAGACAAGTGGTCAGGGGAGCTGGGTGGTCCCTGCTGGCAGATCAGGAGAGAGATGGCCTGTGCTTGGAGAGCAGTGAGAAGCTGCCCGGCTGCATGGTGGGAGTGAAGACTCCATGCCTCAGAGAGGGAAATGACCTAGGAAAGGGAGGAGGTCCAGGCCGGGCAGGAACTCACCCCAGGGGGGATGACCACCCCTTCCCAAACCCGTGCCCCTCCTAGCGTGGGACTCAGTGGGGCTGGCAGTCTCCGGAGCCCTCCTCGTCCTTGCCATTTCAGCGAGCAGCCCAGTGGGCCGAGGCTGCTGCTCACTGCAGGCTCAGCACAGTGAGGTTGCTGAGTCGGGAGGAAGCTGGGTGAGCTCTGTAACCTCAAGCCACGTGTGTACCTCTCAGTGCCGATCACTTTGCACCTCCCCACCTCTTGACTGGAGGCGAAGGCTGCCACTGCCATGCTCAGGCGGCCTGGCCCTGGGATTTCCTTGACTTGCCCCAGCCCCCAGGGGCTGACAAGGCAGCATGAGCCCGGGCCCTGGGAACTTCATCCCTGCTTCTCACCCAAATTCCTCCTGCTGTAGAGTTGGCTCTTTGCAGGAGTCCGGAAGCTAGCATTTCTCCTCTGGGATTGATCTTCCAGAACTCTGGATGAGCAGCCCATCCCGCCCTGCTCACTGCGGTGCGGTGCATCCTGCTGTCTCTCATTCTTTGCTCTATTCGCTATCTGGAGGAGGCAGCATTCTGCTCTGGCCCCTGTGGTGCATGAAGTGGACTTTGGTCTGGCCGGGTCCTGACCTCCTTGACCTTGGTTCCTGCTACCCAGGGAGCCCAGGGAGGGACCAGCCCAGCACGGCTGTGTGTGGGCCTTTCCACGTGGGCTCCTGGTGCAAGCCTGCCTGCCTCCTCCTGAGGCTGTGGCTCTCCCAGGCACTGCCAACCTGGTCTCACCTGCTGTGCCGTAGACCATAGACGGGGAGAGCTTTACATCTGGAGGGAATCAGGGTCGACTCATTTGCCCCCTCATTTTCCACATAGAAAACTTTTTTAGCAAGGAAAATGCTGATTCCCTAGCCCACAGGCCAGTGTTTTATGCCATTTCACTCTGTATGGTCCTGCACTTACTTCACAGCAGAAGCTTTAACTGTGGCCACTACTCCAGACACACTCCCTTATGAACTGAATTTTACCAAAATCTTAGAATGGGGAGTGACCTCTGAGCTCATTTAATCTAAACTCCTCTTGGAAGAAATTCCCTTCACAGCATTCAGGTCAGTAGGTCTGTCAGCCTCTGCTTGAATGCTCCTAGTGACAGAAGTCTCATTACCATGCAAGGCAACTTGCTCCCTTAGTGGTGAGATTCAAGTGTTGTAAAGTAGACTTTATGAGGAGTTGAAATCCCATAGTTTGAAGCTTCTCCCCATCATACCATTTCCTTGTGACTCTGAAGCTACCCGGGAGTGAAAACCCAGTTGTAGTACTTTCATTGTTTACTTATAATGACCACACACAGGGAGAAATTGAGTCAAGGTAGGCCATGGTATGAACAGGAGCCAGTCGGCTTGATTTGCTCTCTGGTGTGAGTTTCTGCAATGTTGGAGGCCATTGCAGCACAGTCACCTTCAGTTTGGGTGGGGAAAATTCCTTTGGCTCTGGAGTCAGCGTGGCATAGTGGAAACAATAAGCTTTGGAAACAGAGTGGAAACTGGGGTTTTTTTATGAGCTGTGTGGCTCTGAGCTTATTGCTTAACCTCTCTGACCTTCAGTTTCTTCTGGTGGCTCCATGCGGTAATGTGTAAAATCTCTGACATTCTAAGACGCTGTGAGCAGAGCTGAAGGAAGGCTGCGGACTCACTGAAAGCTCCTTTCATTAAATGCCATGTGCTGACTTTTCAACTTCTTGTCTTTGTAGCACTTCCGTGGGAAGCTTCCCATCAGGGGAGAGCAGTGACCAGGGCCCACGGACACCCACCCAGCCCCTGTTGGATTCTGGCTTCCGCTCCGGCAGCCTGGGGCAGCCTAGCCATGTGGCCCAGAGAAGTTACCAGAGCCCTTCTCCTCTCCCGACTGTGGGCAGCAGCTACAGCAGCCCCGACTACTCACTTCAGCAATTCACCTCCTCTTCGGAGAGCCAGGCCCGGCCTCAGCATGGCATGGTTGGCGTCCACGCGGTGCCAGGGAGCCCCCAGGCCCGCCACAGGACAGTAGGCACCAACACTCCCCCCAGTCCTGGTTTTGGCCGGCGAGCCATCAACCCTGGTGCGACTGCCCCTGGTAGTCCTGGTTTGAGCCACCGCCAGGTGATGGCTCCATCAGGCCCTGGTATCCATGGCAACGCCGTCTCCAGCCACCAGAGCAGTGCAGCACCCACTCCAGGGAGCCCCAGCCTGGGCCGGCACCTGGGAGGGTCTGGATCTGTGGTTCCCGGCAGTCCCAGCTTGGACCGGCACGTGGCCTATGGTGGCTACTCCACCCCTGAGGACCGCAGACCCACACTGTCCAGGCAGAGCAGTGCCTCTGGCTACCAGGCCCCTTCCACGCCCTCCTTCCCCGTGTCCCCTGCCTACTACCCAGGCCTGAGTAGCCCCGGCACCTCGCCCTCGCCAGATTCTGCAGCCTTCCGCCAAGGGAGCCCGACGCCAGCCCTGCCAGAGAAGCGGAGGATGTCTGTGGGAGACCGGGCCGGCAGCCTCCCCAACTACGCCACCGTCAATGGGAAGGTGTCCTCCTCGCCCGTTGCCAGTGGCATGTCCAGCCCCAGTGGGGGCAGCACGGTCTCCTTCTCCCATACTCTGCCTGACTTCTCCAAGTACTCCATGCCAGGTAGGGCTCTCCTCTTGCCCTTGTCCCCGCTCTTGTTGACAAATCAGTCCGAGTTAGGACATCTGTCCTGACCACCCCTTGACAGAGGGCCTTAGGCGAGTCCCTGAATTCAGAGGCTCGGTTTCCTTATCTGTGTAAAATATGTGGCTGTGTGTGGACGCTGTGATGAAGATATGAATGACGGTGAAGAGGAGTAATAATAGCACAGCTGTTGTCATGATCAGCATCGTCACAGCCATTTGTTGGGCACATGTGACAAGCCAGCCTCAGAGCTAAGTACCATCTCACTTAATCCTCACAGTTCCTGGTAAAGTAGGTTCTGTTAGCCCTATTTTATACCAGGAGCAAGCTGAGCTGCCACAGGCTTTGTCATTTGTCCAGAATCACACAGTGAGAGTGGCAGAGCTAGGTTTCCATTCCAGGTCCACATTACCCCAAAACTCATTGTCTTAATGCATTAGTAGATTGTCTTTGTCATGTGTCCATATATCTTTCAGTACTGAAGATTGAGCTTTTGTGTGGAGCTCCAGTCCTTTCCTATTTTTTATTTTGAGGCACCATCTAGCTAAGTCACCAAGTTGTCCAGGCCGGGCTTGAACTTGAGATCCTCCTGCCTCAGCTTTCCAGAGTGCTAGGTTTACAGGCTTGCTCCACTCTGCCTGCCTATGTGTCCCTACCATGAGGGCTGCTGTGATGTAGCATAGCTTTGGAAACATTGGGCCTTTCTGCCTTTTACCAGCCCCACTGTGGATGTCAGTAATAACAAGTCTGGTGGCCAGATGTGATGCAGGGCAAGGCTGGGGGTTGGACGTTTTGTCCAGACTGACTTCATGGAAGCCCATGTGGATTTTCACAGTGAGCTCTCCCCCTGGGACTTGGCATCTCCGCCTCTGCCCTAGATAGTTCATTATCAGACATCAGAAAGACCAGGGTCTCAGGTCGCCCTCAGCTCCTCACGCTGGCCCTCACCCTGGCTGTGTGCAGTGGCCCCGAGACCTGGCATGTGTAAGTCAGATGTCCAGTGTCCTGGGCAGCCTCAGAAGGGCCCAGCCACCCAGCTTCTCCCTGTGTCGCTCCCCGGCCTGCCCAGAGCTTGCCGTGTCCGGACACCTAGGGTGACCCTGCTCTCCGTGCTTCCTGCCGCCTAGTGGGGACATCTGGTTCCCAGCCCCTCTCCTTAAAGGATGCAGAACTTCTAGTAGTTGGGATGCTTCCTGTTTCCCACCATCTTCTTGGCTTAAAATAGCCTTTGGAGTCAACACAGGAAGGCATATGGGACTCCGGCTGCCTCTGACAGCTCGTTAAGCTCCTTAAAAGGGCGGGTGGCGGCAGAGGCCGGGGCTGCAGAGCGGAGACAAGTAGCCTGCAGCCCTTGCCCAGCCCAGCTGCTTGGTCTAGTGGAGGAGCTGATCTTCCCTCCTCCTCCCCAGCCTCTGGAGATGGAGCCCAGAGGCCTGAGGAAGGGACGCCACTGTGGAAGTGGATGGAGCCCTGGAGAGGGGGCCACTGGTCAGCTCCTGTGTCTTGGCAGCAGCCTTAGCCCAGGACCCCTGCTCCAGCCTCTCCCCAACACAGGGGAGGAAAAATGTGGAACTGGAACATTCTTTTTTATTCTCTTCCCCCTCGTCTTCCCTCACCCCTCTTTCTTTTTATTTTCTTTGGTGACAAAAGATGAAGGAACACAGACAGGAGGAAGGATCTCTAGCACTCTGTAGTGCAGCGAGGTGATTGCAGTTGACAATAACCCATCGTATGTGTTGTGTAGAACAAGATGGCCTCTAGATGCTAGGCCAGCCCTTTCCTGTCTGTCCCAGGGCAGCAGTGACTTTTTACTTTCTGTGATGCAGGACACAAGCTTTGGGAATAGCCAGGGTGTGGCAGAAACGGGTCTTTCTGCCCTTGTCCTCCCAGCCGTTGTGCTGCAGTTGGGGAAAGGGGGCTGGGAGGGTGTCTTACGTGCAGGAAGTGGGAAGATGACCAGAGAATCTCCTGGAAGAAGAGGGGAAGGTGCAGGAGGGCTGCTGCTTGGACCAGTGAGAATGTTAGACTAGCCCTTCAACAGCAGAGTAGCTCCACGATCCGGGATGGTTGGCAGGAGGCGGGGAATGGATGAGAAGGCTGCTTCCTCCATTCCTTCTCATTACAATGTGCAGTGTTGGAGGACACTAGCTTTCTCTGGTGGTTTCCTGGGGCCGCCGTAACAAAAGTACCACACACTTGGTTCTCAGAACAACAGCCATGGATTCTGTCATAGGAATGGAGGTGAGGGCTCCAAAGTTCAGGTGGTGGCAAGGCTGGTTCCTTCTGGAGGTTCCGTGGGAGAGTCTGTTCTGGGCCTGTCCCTAGGATCCCCCTGTAGGTGGCCATCCTTGGTGTCCCTTGGCTTGGAGACTCATCATCCCATCTTTGCTTCTGGCTTCACATGGTGCTGTCCTTGTGTGTCTCTCTGCCTCTTCTTCTTTTAAGGACTCTAGTCACATAGACTCAGGGCTCCCCCTAATCCAGCACAACTTTATCTTCACGTGATCATATCTGCAAAATTTAACAACCCTATTTGCAAATAAGGCCATACTAATAAGTGGGGACACAATTCAACCCATAACACTTTCCTCTCCTCTCCTTTAGACAACAGCCCTGAGACACGGGCTAAAGTGAAATTTGTCCAGGACACTTCCAAGTATTGGTACAAGCCCGAGATCTCCAGAGAGCAGGGTGAGTGCTGGGTGTACCGGGGGCTCTGGGGTCCATCATGGCTGTTGCCCGCCATGTCCGTTTAGGGCAATGAACAAGATGGACTTGTTCTTCTGTGCATAGCTGATGGTCACAGAGAGGGGGTTGGAATAAAGTCAGATGGTAGGAAGCACTTCCCATGCAAAGGGGGTTGGCAGAAGTAGTGGCTGTGGATGCTCCTTGGAAGAGTCCAGGAAAGCCCTGGTTTCCTTGGGAAACCAAGGGAAGAGGAAACCTTAGCTCTCCTAGTTCTTTGGGAGGTTGCATTTTACAGAAGGGAAACAAAACAACAACAGCAAAAATGTTAGAAATGTGCAAATGGAAACGAAGTCCACATCAGGGTCTCAAGGAAAGTCTATATAGATGTAAAGTGAGTGTCTCCCCAGACAGCTGCCTGGGTTTGTAAACAAAGTTTTACTAGGACACAGACATTCCTGCCTGCCTGCCTGCCTGCCTTCTGGCTGCTTCCTGCCATGGAGGCAGGCTTGAGTAGTCGCAACAGACTTCGTGGCCTACAAAGCTTGAAATATTTAATGTCTGGCCACCTTCGTACAGGATGGCCCTCAGGAGTGTTTAAACATTCAAGAATGTCATCACCTGAGAGAAGGAAGTGCGGTAGGCCCTGTAAGACTTAGGCGAAGCCACTGTCCTCAGTTTCTTATTTCCTTTTCTTTCTGTGTCTCCTTCCAATTCAGCCATTGCACTCCTGAAGGATCAGGAGCCAGGGGCCTTCATCATCCGTGACAGTCACTCCTTCCGAGGGGCCTATGGGCTGGCTATGAAGGTGTCTTCACCACCTCCGACCATCATGCAGCAGAGTAAAAAAGGTATCATCATCTCCCAGAATGGGCCCGGACATTACCGTCTCAATTCCAGGGCTTTGGCGGTGCCAAGCGTTGGGCCGCCTCTTAAGGGATCTGGTCCCTCATAAGTGTGACTTTTCTGAAGAGTGAGTCTTGGGCTTGTGAGGGTGGGGTCACAGAGCAGGGAAGTGGGGTCATGAGGACGTGGTGGCTTCCTGGAGGGGTGGGAGAGGAGTGAGTGGCTGTGTCCATCCTGCAGGGTTCTAGCCAGCTTGTCTCTGCGACACTTCCTCCCATGTTGTCCCCGGACCCTGCAGAAGTCGGGAAGCAGAGTTGGGAGTTGGGTGGAGGGTGCCTTGAGAATAAAGTGACCAAGTCTCTCTCTCTCTCTTCCTTGAAGGAGACATGACCCATGAGCTGGTGCGGCACTTCTTGATAGAGACCGGCCCCAGGGGCGTCAAGCTCAAGGGCTGCCCCAATGAGCCAAACTTCGGTGAGCTGCCCCTCCCTCTGTCACTGTGGTCTGGCTGCAGTCCCAGCCCTGTCCCAGGTGCCCCCCGGCCTGCCCAAGTCCTTTCTGCCATGGGCATCACAGACTTGGCAGTGAAGAGGAGCAGTGGCTTCTGGATGGCGGCTCCTTGACTCCACCAGCTTCCCCTCTGTGTTGTCCTGCCCCACTGAGATGGATCCTTGCTGTGTTTAGAACAACTGTCACAGTATCTGCCCTTATGGCCACTGAGCTGGGATTTGACTCCACAATTTTCCTCGTTTCTACTCTCCTGTTCTGAGAAGGGCTCCCCTAACTGAAGGGACTTAGAAGAGATGCCAGGGAGAACTTTCTGTACCTGAAAGTTGTTAGGTCACCTTGTGACTGCTAGAGTGATCTTAGAAATCTTCCTTGGATTTTGATTAAAAAAAAAAAAAAAGAAAGAGGGAGTGAGTTTTTAGCTGTGTTAGCAGGATGAGAGAAAGGAAAAAAGCTGAGGGCTGGAGGTGTAGCTCAGCAAAAGAACACTTCTCTAGCTCGCTCTGGGGCTTACATTTGATTTCCAGTTCTGCCAAAGTAAAAGGCTGAAGATGCTGTGTAGCTGGATGGGGTGGGGTTCCCACTGCCCTTAACCTTCTCAGTCCCTGAAACACTGTCTCACCCCTGCAGGCTCCCTGTCAGCCCTGGTCTACCAGCATTCCATCATCCCGCTGGCTCTGCCCTGCAAGCTGGTCATTCCAAACCGAGGTAGGTTTGTAAGACTGCACACCCTTGAGCTGCCTGCTTCCTGTTCCGGCCCTGGCAGCCACTCCAGAATATGGGCCAGGGTTGAAGGACACCTGTCATCTTGCCAATATGGAAAACTCAAACCCATTCTCTTTTTTCCTTATTAAAAAAGAAGGAAAAATTCATTTAAAAAATTGGTGCCAGGAGCATACATACATTGCCTTTCCAGATTGTTTTAGAAAATACTGTGGAGGCTTCAAGAAATTCCTATTGAGTTCTCAGAAAAAAAAAAAAAAAAAAAAAAAAAAAAAACA